AACTCCCCTCCCCGGTCGGAGCGAAGCATGAGCACCGACTTCTTCGTCTGCCTCTCCACCAACACCAGCCACTTCTGGAACTCCAGCAGCACATCCGACTTCTTGGCGACCGGCCTCACCCACACAAACTTGCGGTCCTTCAGCAGCAGGAAGTACAAGCTGCCGTCCTTGGCAGCCACGCGGAACGGCCCGCACAGGTCGATGTGCACGACGGCCAGCACGTCGTCGGCGTCGGAGCCTTGGTCGGGGAAGGTGTGCCGCGCCAGCTTCCCGCCAACACACGAGACACACGGTGAGTCGGTGCCCGACGTCGACTTGAGGTCCAGCCCAGTGGCGACCTCGTGCTTTGCCGAGCTCCGTATGGTGTCCATGCCGACGTGCGCAAGCCTCGCATGCATCCTGTCCGGCGTCGACTTCGTCTTCGAGACGATCGTTCGCAGGGCCACAACCTCCGGCGTGGGCGACGTCGACCTCGTTGAGCAGGGACGCAGGTCGGTGCAGAGGACACGCCCGGAGTACGTCGCCCGACCGAGTACCTCTCCTGCTGCCGAGACGAGCAGCATCCCGTCGCCGTCCTCCTGCAGCTTCACGCCGTGCTCCTTCAATTGGCAAGACGATAGCAGGTTGGCCCGCACACCTGGGACGTACAGCACGTCGGGGATGAGCACCTTCTTCCCAGCCTCCCCTTGCAGGGCGATGGTGCCGCGACCCTGGACGTCCTGCAGCGCCCCATTGAAGCCGCGCACGTGCTAGATGGAGCCCCTCGGCTGCAGGTTGACAAAGGCTTCCTTCGTCCCCATCAGGTGGTGGGAGCAGCCGCTGTCGAGCAGGACCACCGCCGGGTTCGCCTGCATAGCTGCCGCCACCGCCTGGTAGTCCTCTCCGGCCTCCGGCGCCAGCGAGACGGTCGGCTCCACGACGCCGACCAGCGAGCACCTCCTTACGCGGTGTTCCCTCCTCGACGAGGACGACGACTGCCAGACCTCCCACGGCCTCCCTTGGCGTCGTCGTCGTCGGAGTCACTTCGGTCGGGGCACTCGAAGGAGAGGTGGTCGGGGTCGCCGCACAGCCAGCACTCCCGACGTCGACCTCCTCCTCCTCGACCGCTGTCCTTGGTCGACTTCTTCTTGTCGACTTCCTTGGCCGGCTTCCAGCCACTGCCACCGCTACCACCGCCGCCAGACTGTCCGCGCTACCCCCGGTGGACCTCCTTGCTTCGCCGAGGCGACGAGGTTTGCCTGCGCCAAGAGTCCCTGTTACTGCTCTGCCTCCTGCATCGCCTCGTCCTGCAGGATGTACGAGGTCTTGAAGTAGCCGTAGCTCGGTGCAATCCCGCCTGCTGTCACCTGGGTCGCCGACATCGGCGAAGATCCACTTCGCCGACCTCCGACGTCACCCTGCGAGGAGCCTGCAGCCGCCGACGACCGCATCCCTCGCACCTGAACGCCGCCGACTTCATCGGCGTGAATCACACCACGCTGCCTCGACGTGCCTCCCGCACTACTGCCAACTTGACCACCACCGGCATTGACGCCCACGTTGACGCCGCCTACCGGTCGAGGAGAGGCAGGTCGAGAAGGGTGCTCCGTCGCCCACATGGTGCGGAGTCCAGCCTATAAGACCGCCCAGGGTATTGCTCCGTACTCCTGGGCGTCATGGCGTCTCCTCGCGTCCTCTAGCCGTGCCTCCAGGGTGTCCACCACCCCTGCGTCACCTACGGCTCCTACCATAGTGACTACCGCACAGCTGCCGGCCTACAACCACGAAATAGGTATGTGATGTCTACGTCGACCTTACTGAAAGGTAAGTCGTGTGCCTTCCACGCTCACCGCACCATGCGGAGATAACTACTACAACGGGAGCTAGACTACGGGCTAGGCACGGGTGCTCGTGTGATCTCTGCGTTTGTTGGTCCTTAGTCGTTTTCCTAGTGCACACACAGCTTGCTAGTTCACGGGGCAATTTGGCAAGAGTTTCACTAAGAAAGGTTGACAACAATGGTACAATGAAGTTGGCAAGACTAGACTACATCAGAGCTAGCATGCAAGCAAGTCTACTGCCAGCGCAGCACGGTCGACCGCGTGCCAGCACGACTTGGTTGACCGCGCTCCAGCAGTGCAAAGTCGCGGCTTGCCAGCGCTGTAAGTTGACGGCGTGCCAGCGCTGTTCACGCAGAACAGCAGCGCACCCGCTTCGCAGGTGCTCGCAGATGATTGGCGGGCTGAGCCTCGTCACCTGCACAGCGCACACACCAAGTCAACCTGGCGCTGATGACTGCTTCTGATCAGCCACGTCGACCTCGGGATACCACCACCAAGGTTGTCCTCGCCAACTTTGCTTGGGCGACCGTCGCACTCCTCCGCAGAACCTCGTCACCCAAGTAACCTGGTCGACCGGGCAACCACGTCGACCAGCTGCTCCTGTATGTGCCGGTCGACCTCCCAAGTCGACGGCCACCTCCAAATCGACCTCACCAGGTCGACCACGCCCCTGGTCGACCAGCTCCAGGTCGACGTCATTTCTGGTCGACCAGCGCCACGTCGACCAGCAGTCCTGGTCGACCAGCTTCATATCGACCAGCGCAGTTGTCGGCCGACCACCCAAGTCGGCTACCCGAAGTCGGCGTCACGAAGTTGACGCCCAGCTACTCGACGCCCAACTGCTCGGCGTCCTAAGTCAAGGTCGACGTTGGCCCCTCCTTCGACGACCACCAGGTCAAGTCGACCACCAGCAGGTCGACAAGCAGTCCGTCAGCCGACCACCGAAGTCGGCGGCAACACGACAAGCTGCGACAAGCACGGCATAGAGAGGCGGCGTACGAGGAGGCAGTGTCTCTCTCTTTTGACGGAACGTGGCGCGACAAGCGACGTGACGCGGTCGCGAAAGGACCAGAGAGAGGGCACATACGTGTCCACGACTCGAAAAGGTGAGCTCTCTGGCCGCCATTCTACCTCCCTCCCTTTCACGTGCCTACCGCCCCACATAGTGCTCACGCCGTGTCAACCCTGAGTTGAAGACGCCGGCAATTGCATCAGCAAATCCGCATTAGACATTGATGTGACGTGAATGTTAACAGGAGTTGTGTGTTGGCCCCGTCCTCGCTTGGGCGGAGCCGACTTCGTGGTCGGGTGTGAGGGGAGCAGCCGACCTGCAGCAGTGGGCGAGCTGGTTGACGAGGAGGTCGACCTGCACGGAGACCACTGTACGGGCGCCAACTTCAGGGAGGTCAACTTCCGCTTTTGCCAATCCACCGGTCTTTTGCGAGGTCGCTTCTGGAATTAGCAGATTATCGTGTTCCCCCCGTCCTTAACGTTGCTTGCAGCGTCGACGTAGTGACGCCGCTTGGCGCTCTATCGCTGCGGCCCACACCAAGGGTATTTTCAACGCACCGCGGAGTCGGTGGCGAGCATGCATACAGTGACGCTGTAAGGCGCGCAGGAATTTCCAGTGCAGCTGCTAAAGCATGGATGGTTGCCGTTGCTTCAGCTGCGGCAGAATTCGTCGCAGCTTAGCGAGACGCGGCTACTAAGGCAACGAGGCGGTAGCAACTATTGTAGCGTTGTCTGTTATGTTGTTGCCAGATTCACGTTTGAGAACAGAGCGTTGCCAAGGTGTCGAGTGGATTCTGGGGTGAATTTCAGAGACGGATGGAGTGGATGGAAGAGTGATGGAGTCGCGCACGAATAATGCAAAGCTTGGATGGTGACTTCTCTGACAGCGCGATACAATGGGGTTCAAAGCGGGAAATGAAGGTACATACTTGGTATCGAACGGTTCGAAACTATCCAGCAAGATAAAAACGAGGGCACCAATAATTGTGGATCCGAAACGCGTTTAGGGACCGTGAGATGCGGAATTTTTCGGCAGAGAATTATTGGTCAAAGTAGACACCAAAAACTGCTCATGCATAAGTAGCTTCGTTACAATCAAAAGAGACCTGAATATGTTAGAATCAAAACTTCACGCATCTACACTATAACCTTAAGCCAGACATTAAATTCGTAGTTAACACCAGCCATACGCCATATGATTACAACATCAAAACACTATACATTTATAACAAAGCAACTACATCCATGGAGAAATGTGATTATAACAATACTAAAATTTCACAACCATTCATGACGGGATAATATCGTCTCGGATACCCTGATGAAACTTAAAGAGGTATAGAAACATAGGATACACTCTTTCTATAAACTATTAATAAAACTTTTTCAAAGAAGATAACATAAGCAATGCACATGGTAAACTAACATTCTACACCAAAATAAGCCTAAACCCTACTAATTGGTAACATACACAGTTACCGAAACACGGATGACATGGCAGGAACCAACAGACAATTCCTCTCGAAGGAGAATTTCCGTGCGAAGTGTTGGTTGGCAACACACCCCGCACATCTCCCAATCTATCGCCATATCTGTCTGGGAAAGGCGACCAATGAAAACGCTCGAAAGCCCACAAACACAAATACCACGTAAACCACCCTAGAACCATGAATTGTCCACCACGTGTACAGTGCGCATCAGCAAAACTTGGTTAACAGCCATAAACGGTGATCTAGCGGGGTGGTCGTAAACGACCAGACGAGCCAACGACAATCTGCAGGAATAAACCCAGCGCATGCGACGGTCAACTACTAGAAAAATGGGGGGGGGGGGGGGGGGGGGGGGGGGGGGGGGGGGGGGGGGGGGGAATTTCACCTCATCAACCATAAAAAACCATCAGCATCCTACACGAAAAATACCCCCTCCCCCCACCCTCCCCCATACTCGGCAATTTCACATTTTTCTGATGTTCGTCACCCGCGTTTCCCCTCGTCACGCGCGTTTCCCCTCGTCTCGCGCGTATCGCTTCGTCTCGCACATTTCCGCTTCTTGCACACGCGCCTTCTCGTCACGCGCGCTTCCCCTCGTTGCTAACTCTCCTCCCCTCGTCATGCGCATTTCCCCTCGTTACGCGCTATCCTCCCTGGTCATGCGCGCTTCCCCTCGTGAATGGCCGAGGGGGAGAGACAGAAGGGGAAGGATGGAGGGGGAGGAACAGAGGGGGGAGGGCAGAGAGTGGGAGACGAAGGGTGAGAGCGGGTTCTTCCCTCACTCCCTCTCCCCATCGACCTCAATTTCCCCGAAATGTTTACACCCCTCTTTATTTGACAGACCTCCCTTTCTCCCACCAGCTCTGTTTACCTTTGCCTCACCTGCTTCCCCCCTCCCTCCTCCCTGCTTCCCCCCTCCCTCCTCCCTGCTTCCCCCCTCCCTCCTCCCTGCTTCCCCCCTCCCTCCTCCCTGCTTCCCCCCTCCCTCCTCCCTGCTTCCCCCCTCCCTCCTCCCTGCTTCCCACCTCCCTCCTCCCTGCTTCCCCCCTCCCTCCTCCCTGCTTTCCCCCCCCCCTCCCTCCTCCCCCCTCCCTCCTCCCTGCTTCCCCCCTCCCTCCTCCCTGCTTCCCCCCTCCCTCCTCCCTGCTTCCCCCCTCCCTCCTCCCTGCTTCCCCCCTCCCTCCTCCCTGCTTCCCCCCTCCCTCCTCCCTGCTTCCCCCCTCCCTCCTCCCTGCTTCCCCCCTCCCTCCTCCCTGCTTCCCCCTCCCTCCTCCCTGCTTCCCCCCCCCTCCTCCCTGCTTCCCCCCCCTCCCTGCTTCCCCCCTCCCCCTCCCTGCTCCCCCTCCCCCCCCTCCCTGCTTCCCCCCTTCCCCCCTCCCTCCGCCCTGCTTCCCCCCTCCCTCCTCCCTGCTTCCCCCTCCCTCCTCCCTGCTTCCCCCCTCCCTCCGCCCTGCTTCCCCCCTCCCTCCTCCCTGCTTCCCCCCTCCCTCCTCCTTGCTTCTCCTCTCCCTCCTCCCTGCTTCCCCCCTCCCTCCTCCCTGCTTCCCCCCTCCCACCGCCCTGCTTTTCCCCCTCCCTATGCCCTGCTTCCCCCTCCCTATGCCCTGTTTCCCCCCTCCCTCCGCCCTGCTTCCCCCCTCCCTTCGCCCTGCTTTCCCCCTCCCTCTGCCCTGCTTCCCCCCACCTCCGCCCTGCATACCCCCACCCTCATAGAGGTGCGCGTCACGCACCCAGTGAGCCTTTGCTTTCCCCATATGCCACCCCTCTACCTCGATCTCACCATCTTTCGTCTCCCTCCCCATGTACCTCTCCTCTCCCTCCCCATATACCTCTCCTCTCCCTCCCCATGTACCTCTCCTCTCCCTCCCCATGTACATTTGCAACTAAGAGGGGGGACGGACGTGCAACAAGGTGGCAGCTCAGCAGTGGCTTTTAGCATCTGGTGATGCTGACGATGCCAACCAGGATGCTGCCTACGAGGGGAGGAAGGACAGAGGGGGATGGACAAAGGGAGATGGACAGGAGGGGAGGGAGAGATGGGGAGGGATAGAGGGGAAGAGGGTAAGCTTCTTGCCCTTTTCCATTTGCCTTCTCCAGAAGAAAACCTAGCCTCCCATCACGAGGTGAGTGCCCACTCCATTCCCCTCCATTTCCCATTGTTCCCCTCTGTTCCCCTTCTTCCTTTCCTTTCCTGGTCTTCCCCCCTGCATGCCTCGCTTGCCTTGTCTCCCTTTCCGGCCTTCCCACCTTTCCACCTTGTCTTCCGATCTCTCGTCCATTTGTTTCTACTTCCTAACTTCCTCCCTCCATCCCTCCCTCCCTCCCCTCTCTTCCTCTCTCCCTCCGTCCCTCCCTACCTTGCTATCTACCTTTATTCCTCTGTCCCACGCTCCCTCTCACCTCTTCCCTATCTCGCTCTCTTGCCTTTCTCCCTCTCTTCCCTCTCCCCCTCCCTTTTTAGCTATCTAGCCCAATCCTTAATAACGACTTTCCCTTTTGCCCTCTCCCTTCTTCCGTCTCTCCCTCACTTTCTCCCTCTTCCTCTTGGACTCTCTGCACTCCTTCCTTTCCTCCCCTCTCTCTCTCTCCTTCCTTCCCGCAGTCAGAGGTTGAAGGACAATGGGGAGAGGGGGAAGGACAGAGGGGGAGACAGAACAGTTTGGGCTGACGCAGTGGGTTAAAACACAGGGGAAGGACAGTGGTGCGGCAAGAACGAAGGGGAAGGACGGAGGGGGAAAACAGAGGGGTAGGGACAGAGAGGGAGAGACAAGAGTGGAGTCGTAAACACCGAATCGCTCCCTTTCTCCCACCAGCTCGGTTTACCCCCCAACCTATTTTCCTTTGCCTCAGGTGCCACTTCCCCCTCCTCCTCCATGCTTCCCCCCTCCCTCTTCCCTGCTTCCCCCCTCCCTCCTCCTTGCTTCCACTCTCCCTCCAACTCTGCCTTCCTCCTCCCTCGTAAATAGCTTCCCCCCTCCATCGTCCCTGCTTGCCACCTCCCTCCTCCCTGGGCGCCCCCCCCCTCCTCCCTGCTTCCCCCATCCCTCCTCTCTGCTTGCCCCCTCCCTCCACCCTGGGCGCCCCCTCCATCCTCCCTGCTTGCCCCCTCCCTCCTCCCTTCTTGCCCCCACCCTCCGCCCTGCTTGCCCCCACCCTCAGAGAGGTGAGCGTCACACACCAGTTGAGCAGTGGCTTTCCTCATATGCCCCTCCCCGTATCACTATCTTATCATCTCTCCTGTCCTTCCCCCATGTGCCTTGCCTCTCCCTCCCATGCACCCCTCCTCTCTCGTGCACACCCTTTGCCTCTCCACTCCCTCCTGTTCCTGCTCCTTCCCTCTCACCTGCCAGGAGCACGACCGTGAAGCCTTGCAGAGGGACTGGCGCAATGTGCGAGGCGTGAGTCTGTTGCGCTTCCTAGTGGACCATCTCTTCCCTCCATCGTTACCTATCAACCTCATTGGTTTGGCATCTTACTCCACCTCCACATCCCCCCACACACCACCCGCCTTCCCACAAACATAGCCACCTCCACAGCCCCCCACATACCACCCGCCTTCCCCCCCCATAGCCACCTCCATATCCCCCCACACACTACCCGCCTTCCACCCTCATAGCCACCTCCACAGCCCCCCACACACCACCCGCCTTCCACCCTCATAGCCACCTCCACAGCCCCCCACACACCACACGCCTTCCCCCCACATAGCCACCCGCTTCATCCGCCTCTTCCACCTCCCCAACCACCATCTCCTCCTGCACATCTCAATTTCGTCAGTATAGCGATACAGGTAAGAATCGGTTCGGTGTGGTGTGGTGATGCGTGGTGTATTGAGGTGTCGTATGGTTGGGAGAAGGGCGAAGAAATGCTTAGTCAGAGAGTGGAGAAGAGCATCGCAAACACCAGGTACCATAACGGTTGGTGATGCTGTGGTGGTGTGATGCTGTGATTCTGTGATGCTGTGAATGATGTGCTGGTTTGATGGTGTGCTCACTGCCTCTATGAAACATCAGAGCCAAAGCTTCAGCATAAAACAAGTGCGCCCTTCCCAAAACCCTCTGCAAGACCCTCAGGCGATGTGTGTGCGCTTGCCAGCAGAACCCTTGTTTTTCCCGTTTGCCTATCCACCCAGCCACGCCTCTTCCATACCCCCCCTCACCTCCTGCTTCTGTGCCCCGCTTCTCCACACGCACCCACTGCCATCCCCCCTTCCCTCCAGGTCCCTCTTTCTTCCTCTTCCTTCCCCCGAACCCTGATAAACAGACAAAAATGTCTGATTGCGAGGACCCTGATGATAAGCCATATTTTCAGGTGGTGTGCCTGTCACTAAACCTAATCTCATCCCGCTCACAACGGCAGGGCAGGGCAGTGGTAGGGCCAGCCTGGGGTGGGGGGGACAAGGGCGGGGCGGGGCCTGACAGGGCAGGGCAGGGCAGGGCAGGGCATGACCGGCGCCAGTTCACAGGTGCCATCTGGAAGCCTGTCCACACATACCCCAAGGAGAGAGTGAGAGGTGGGTGGTCCGGGGTGGGCAAGGCTGGGTCAATGTTTGCATGATCTTTGGATCGTGGGAAATGCGCAAAAGCATAACAAGCAGCACCAATTATGGATGATGCGCCTTGGGTGTGAGCTGGTGAGTGCAAGCAAGTGCACGCAGGCCCAAGGCAGCAGCAAAAAGAGTTGCTGTGCCTTGGGCGTGGGCTGGTGTGTGCATGCAAGTGCACGCAGACCCAAGGCAGCAGCAACAAGAGTTGCTGTGCCTTGGGCATGGGCTGGTGTGTGCATGCAAGTGCATGCAGGCCCAAGGCAGCAGCAACAAGAGTTGCTAAGCCTTGGGCGTGGCCTGGTGAGTGCATGCAAGTGCATGCAGGCCCAAGGCAGCAGCAACAAGATATTCAACCAGACGAGTGCGATCGCTGCCCCCCCCTCCCTAGTGCCAGACGGGCGTTGCTTGTCGACCAGACCGGCCCGCGCGCTGGACGTATGCGGGTTGACGAGCTGCTAGACGACCAGTGGAGCGCGCTGCGCGCAAACTGGTGAGGGGGATGGTCGTCTCCAGATGCCCTCCCCAGTGGCTACAGAGTAGGAAAACGTAACCTAAAGGGTCTGCGTATGGTGCACGAGACGGTAAGTGGCATTACCCTCAGTAATAGGCACTTTCGAGCCGAGTATACGGGAGCAATGGCCCTAAACCGTCATCCTTTGCGATGCGAGAGGCGATAGACGTGCCTAATGCCACACGCAGTTATCCCATATCGCGCCGTGTCGCGCTCTTCTCACCGCTCCTTCCTGCGACTCCGCATATACATGTTCTGGAACGTCACTAATGTTTGCACGTTCTGTTGTTGTTAGCTCCTGCGGTTACTTCACACGTGAAGTAGTTAGCTTGATTGATTGTGGTGTTTCCTTCTCACTCTTTCCTAGGTTGTTGGTGCTTTCCGTTTCCGTTTTTGCTAGTAGTCGCATTGTGCGTGGTCATTTTCCACAACCTGAACCTGATTGGCTGTTGAACCATTTGTGCGACTCTCCTTCTAGTCGCCCCACACTGCCCTGCAAGTTTGTCAAAGCTTTGCGGTTGGCGAGACAGCTTTCCTCATCGTCAATCAATCGATTTTTCGCTGCACTGACTTTGCCGAAATAATTGGTTTAAAGGTTTCGCATACACCATTTCAAACCCACATAACTTGATACATTACCATGCTGACCCCGGGCTTTAGCACGTGTCCTGCCCGCTATGTGGGATAAAACTGTCAAATGTTATAGCCTCTAGTGGGTTAAGCAGTTAGGGTTAGGTATTTGTACCCCAACCCAATCAATCCAACTCATTCTGCTGTTTTCAGTTCGTGAGATGGTATCAGCAGTAGGTTCGCCGTTCCTAGGCCACACCCAGTCTCTGCCGTTCCTGAACTTAGGCCGTCTCTAGCCTTGGCGTGCCCTCCCCCCCTCTCTCCTCCCCGTCTGCCCTAATCGCCCTAGCCAGCAGGCCCGCCAGCACGCTAGCCAGCAAGCCCACCAGCGCCCTAACCAGCAGGCCCGCCAGCGCGCTAGCCAGCAAGCCTGCCAGCGCCCTAGCCAGCAGGCCCGCCAGCGCCCTAGCCAGCAGGCCCGCCAGCGCGCTAGCTAGCAGGCCCGCCAGCGCCCTAGCCAGCAGGCCCGCCAGCGCCCTAGCCAGCAGGCCCGCCAGCGCGCCACGCCAGCGCGCACGCCAGCGCGCACGCCAGCGCGCCACACCAGTGTGCACGCCAGCGCGCACATCAGCGCGCCACGCCGACGCGCATGCCAGCGCGCCACGCCAGTGCCGCCCGCCCGTCGGCCCGCCGTGCTGCCCGTCGGCCAGGGTGCCGCGCCGCGCCGCCTGCCCGCCTGCACGCCTGCGCGCCTGCCCACACGCCACTGACTGTCTCACCCTCCCGCGGCTGGCAGCCGCGCTCTCTCAGTTTCGCCCCCTATGGCGACCTCCCGAGTACTTCGCTTTGACCCTGAGGGGAGACCGATTGACTTTAGTACGTGGCTTACGCAGGCGCAGCGCCACCTTAAGAGCCAGTAGCAGGATGGCGTGCACCTGTTCGCACACGCGTCCGGTACTCAGACAGCCCCTCCGCAGCCTACACCGCTGCCCAGTGTTGGGCTGAGACAGCCCTTAGGATCTTTTGCAGGGGAGAATTCAGGGTAGGACAATTGTAATAGCGGAAGCGTTAATGAAGAACTTGTGAACCACCTTGCGCTGGTATGTGAGGGCAAAGTAAGTTGATTAAAGCAAAGAGATACAAGCATTTATATATGAGTACAAGGAATATGAAAGGATACAGTTATAACTACTTTACTGTTGCTGTTGCGGTTCGATACAGTGACGACTCGGGCAACTGCTCTGTAGCGAGTCAGTTGTGTGTCCTTGCTGTCGCGCTGTACTTGTCAGGTCAAAGGTCGCTGACCTTTGACTTTCGCGTAACCTCCAGCAACCTCTTTCAACCTCCGAGGGTTGACTCGCGTGTGCCTCGATATGGTTCGCCTCGCTTCTGGTGTGATGTTTCGACACGACAGAGGCGCTTTAGGATTTACTGTTTCCAACACTCCCCTTCGCTTCTGGAGTGTCGCTGCTGATGACGTGGCCTTGTCCAGTCAGCAGCATGCAGTACTCGAACTTCTGCTTTCCGAGCTTCTTGGTCAAGTAGTCAGCTGCCATCTCGGACGTGGGACAGTAGGATAGTTCGAGTCTCCCCTTCTCGATCTCGTCTTTCACGAAGAAATAGCGCAGGGCGATATGTTTCGTTCTGTTCGCGAAGCCACTTTTGTTGGCGATGCGAATTGCAGATTGGTTGTCGCAGAACAAAGTGAAGTTAGGTAACTCGGCTAACTTCGCTTCTTCCAGCAGCTCGCGAAGGTAAAGTCCTTCCTTGGTGGCTGAGCAGAGTGCGATATATTCTGCTTCAGCTGATGAGAGGGCGATTAGTTCTTGCTTACTCGACTGCCAGGAGATAGGACCGATAGGCTCGAGGCGGTAGATGTAGCCGGTGCGGGAGCGCCTATTGTCGGAATCGCCGGCGTGATCGGCATCGACATAGCCGATTAGCTTAGTCGGTGTAGTTGCGTTCTTGTGATACGTTAGGCCGATCGTTGAGGTGCTGACGAAGTAGTGAAGAGCGCGGTCGAGCTCTGCTAGGTGCTCTGCTTCGGGTCTTTT